AGAAAATGCGTCGTAGGACATGTTCAAACGGAGTATGTCGCCAAGCCTTCTCTGCCTCCGGGATATGGAGTGTACCAAAAGAGGCCGTTTTGGGTAGAAAACAACCAGTGGTAGAAAAAGCAGCGGGTGAGATCATTTCACGCTCGCTAGATTGCCACCATATCAGGTGAAAGGCAGTTTTTGCTCGAAGCTGAGGTTCCTCAGATGGCGCCGAGTAAGGACAATTGATAGTAGTGATCGGGGATTTGCTTGCAGTGAATAGAATGGCCAATTTCATCACGCTGCAAGCGAATTTCATGCAGTGGAATGTTGACCAATGATGTCTCCGTCCCGTTCATACACCCTCAAATTCTTCTTACCATTAATGTTGGACTAATCGTATACCCTTTTCCCTAAGAAGCAACTTCAATACTGCCTCTCTCCATGCCATGATACGTGCTTTCTTTTTGACTTTATTTTGCTCTCTTTCCGATACACATTTAAGGAACACCTCATGAACTATACATACTCCAAGTTACAGCTAGAACAGAGCCCAATAAGATGGTTAAGATCGCCCTTTCTTGTCGAATTTTTCACTTATTTTTTGGCATTCCCGTAAACGCATAGCTATTAGGTTCGCGGGAAAGTTCTGTCACTTTTTTCTTTTAATTGTACAGCAATGTTACTGCGGGGTCCTTGCCTGTTTTTGAGCACCTCATGGATGCCATCGCTTCACAATGCAGGGAGGCGCGATACAAAGTTGGACATCATCTCAATCTTGGCTTGAACTCAGACTTTTCGAGGTTTTCTCGTAATTTTCTCGTCCAGTAATGATTGATTACGGGAGGCAACTCGCAGTTAGAAGGAGCAATGTCTGTGCTACACCATTGCAAGGGGAGAGCCATCCAGCTCTATTGCATGAGGAACGGCTAGAACATTTTTTGAAAGTGCGCTGACACTATCAGAAGCATTTTGGAGGGGGTCGGGTGGCGATTTGTTAGCCGATATAACATTCTGTCCACAGGTTGCCAGAAGTAAGAAGGAAGCAGGAATCAAGCGAGTCGGCTACTATAGCATACTCGTTGATGCGACAAGCTGCCCACATTACGTTTACCCCTCTTGCAAGGTAGATGGACAAGTATTTTGAGCTCGAAAAATACAGAACTTTCCCGCCAACCTAATAAAACGAATCCATTTTTGTGAGCCTTACGTTGGACCCCGTACAGCATGCGACAAACCCTTCTAAAAGCGCTGCTACGAACCTGAATGACCTCCTTGTAAGAGCCAAAAGAAGCCTGCCGTCGAAAACTGCCCATGAAACGTTAGGCGAATTTTTTCACTCATTTTTTGGCATTCCCACGCATAGCAAAAACGAAACCCATTTTTGTGATCCTTATATGGACTCCTACAACATGCAACAAACCATTTCTGAAAAGCGCGCCACGACCTGAATGACCTCCCTTGTAAGGGTCAAGCAGCTGGTGCGAAACGTGCCCTGAAACGTAGGAAATTTTCGAGTTATCGGTTGCTCACTTCAAGCTAGTGGTCTATGTCTTTACAAACACCTCGGCGATCTCGGAGACACGTTGTATGCTTGACGTTCGTCAGAAAGGATGATTAACACCGATCCATTTTTCCCTTTTTGCTTATTTTCTAACCATTACTCCTCATTTCAGCTCAACGAAACACATGCCGAAGCTGCCGTTTCGACGAATGCATGCGTCGTGGAATGAAAAAGGAAGCTGTGCAAAGCGAAAGAGATCGGTACCTGTTGGACTTATGAAAAATCAGATGATAGTACAAATCGTTAGTGAAATCCCTAGAATTGCAGGATCCGACCGAATGGGTCTGGTTCAATTCCGGACGACCCTCTCTTGGACGCCCTTCTCTCAGCTGAGGCCATTGTACGCCAACTGCGTTCGTCAGTAATCACTCGGACCGTCGACGCACGTCGTCAGGCAACCACCGGCGACGTTACCGACAGGTTTACACTGAAGTTCTTTGGGTTCTGTTATTGATGGTTGTGCTCTTACAAGTTATTCCTGTGGCTATACGATTGATGAGTTATGTTCAATGCACACAACAAGAAAAGAAGTTACTGAGTGAGAAAGGAAAGAAAGGGAAGAGAAATAGAAAGAACGTAGCAGTGCTTCTGATGCATTTAATACTCGCCTTGACATCTGGTTCCACCTGGCTTGAACAAGGAGCCGAGTACTAGTGTTAATCAGGAGCTCCTCAGTTGGTGCTTGCAGGGGTGTCTTCTGCCCTCACCGTTAGAGAGCGTAGCTTAAGCTCAGAGCACTTTACCTTAAGCGAGGTCAGATCTGTAAGAAGCTTGTTTCCAGTATGAATCAACAACTCACTCTAATGGTGGAATGGGCAAAGAATCTGCAGGAATTTCAGCGATTACCACTCGGTTCCCAAATAGCTCTGCTTAGGTGAGGCTGGCTCACCTTTAATTTTTCTTTTCGCTTATTCTGTCCAGCTTATGCACTGGATGATAAATAGGAAGAAAAAGCGGCATACGATGTTCTTCAGCGGCATTTCTCAGCACAACATTTGGTGGATGGTGCGCAGTCATTTCGAAGTATTCATCTTCACATGAACTGCTGTATTGCATTGACACGATCGAACACATGACACTCTTACCAAGGGACACTCCGGGTAGGCCCCACCACACCCATAGACGCAATAAGTCACTGACAAGATATAGCATACTGAGCAGCGTACACGATACTGATGCGCGTAGCTTCATAGCCCAATTTGGGATGTTCCTTACTGAAGCGGCTTCTTCCCTAATATCGGTAGGAGCGATGGACGCTCCTGGGTCCAGTGGGCAGGGCACACTGCGGCCCATAAAGCCTTCGTTTTTGTCAAGAGAAACGGGAGCCTGTAGATTTCGCGGCGGTACAACGTTTTCGAAGTCTCCTTATTTACCACGTCTATCTCTGGTTTTCTCTTATAGAAAGGCCTGTTGTCTGTTCTACCATTCCCGAAGAGCTCGCTACTGCCTGCGTGAGCTACCTTCGATTGTGTGGGATGATAGTGAGCGACAAGTTTTTTACACTCACTTCCGAGGCCATGTGCAGAGCTGGCGGATTGGTTAAGAGCCAATAGCGCCGCCACATTCTCCCGCTCAGGATGATGCACGGTCAGGGAGGCTGCTGACGGATATTGGTACCGAATGCCGTCTCCATAACTCGCACGCGCTGTCCTCAAGGTCAAGACACTACGGTCCCGCAGCGGAACTTGCACTTAGCGGTACAGAACAATCATACCTGAGAGAGCGCAGAAAAGTAGCGCGTTTGTTCATGCTTAGGCGTGTGGGTGGCCGCGGCAGCGCGGGCGGAGCATGGAAACGGCTGGTACGTCCTCAGGTTCAGACGACCTCCGCCACCAGGGTGCGCGTCCTTACTTCTTTCCGTACTAAAACCAGATTCGAACCATGAAAGGCAGTGGAAATGGGTCTCCGCCCATCCAGTTATCGCGGAATGTGTCTCTAACTTAAAAGGGGTAACCTTTCAGTACATTTATTTATTTATTTGTGATGTTTCAGTCGAGTGGCAGCACGAATAGTTGATCATCTGACAACGCCGATGAGACAGCTTCAGATGAACGAGATTGAGTACGTGGCCCTGAAAGCGATCGCATTCTTCGATCCACGTATGTTTAAAGAATTATCAAAAATCGAATATAACGATGTCTTGCGAGCCTGAGAAGGCTTTGAAATGACAGTCGGTCCCTCACGCATGTAAAGAATAGATATCGATCTTTCGTGCGCACCAGGTCGGCACTCATTTCCGGTCAGACAGGTCGACGCATGAGAGTATTTTTATGGGAAAGCATGGATGGGAGATAATTTGAATCCAAAGGAACAATCCACGCTAATCATGCGGGCGGAGATAATCAACCGCTGTGCTTTCCTTATTGGTGCTTTTTTCCAAGATCGAAGTGAGGTAGAAGTGAAGAAGGCACAATGGCAGGTCTGGCTCCGCCTGTAGATCAGCGTGGAGTGTGTATTCAGTGACAGAACATTATAGTTTCATTTCTCTCATTGCAGTCGCGAAAGGCACAGAAGAATCGCATCGTGACATCGATGACACCCGTCAAAAGGTTGAGTGTTCCATTTGTTCCATTTGGAAGTTATCAAGAATATTTTCCCTTTTCAGTTGCTGGATTCGTTCGAACGCCACGTGCGACAGGTGTCGCCGCTTCGCGACACTCCTCGCCGCTTCTCAAACCTTCTACTTCTTCTTCCACCGATGTTAGCTATCGCTCGTGATTTGATTGAAGATGTACAAATGGCGAAACTGTTTGGCCTGGCTGCCATCGATAGGCTCATGCAGGAGCTGTTGCTACCTCCCGATAGCAGCACAGACAAATTGCCTTGAATATGCCTAGCCTGTTTCAAATTTGAAGTCTTACTTTATGAGACGTGTCTATAGCTTCTATTTTGTACAACATATCGGGTCTCCTCACAGGCACAGTCCACCTCTGTTGTATTGGCGGAGACGGCTAGCCCTTAAACTTTTTTCATCGGCGCGGTTTTCCTTATTCTTGAGGAGGAGGGGTGCACAGAGAGAAAGACACAATGCTTGACCGTCTATGCCACTGTCTCCGCCCATATTTCCAGCGTGGATTGTGCTTTTGAGAAGTGTTTTCATGCTAATTGGAAAGTGTTAAATGTCTCTGTGGGTGTGTCAGACACATACAGACGTTTGCTTGCTCCGTTTTTGCAACTGAAAGTGAAACAATAAAGGCAATTTCGGTCCAACTCAACAACAGGTTTCGCCTGTAATGATACGTCACGCCTTCTACCTACCTACACGACTGAGAGCGATCAAGCATTTTCCGATTCGAGCGGAAGTAGAAGGCCAGATGTAGTGGCACGTCGAACGTAGAAGGTTTATCAGCGAATACCAACAGAATATGAACAGAAGAAGAACTTGCCCGACCGTCGCTTGGAGTAGCAGAGTCGACAATGAGCAATACAATGCAAGTGAGGTACTGAGGAGATACTGGGGCTAATCTTATCAGCACACTTCCTATCTCCTCAACACCTCCCCTTTTAAGTAAGATCGTATGATTTCTTCTTAGGATCCACTGTGAGTCGATGCGGCGTTGAACGTTTGCGTGAAGATCGTCGTAGTGGTGGTCCTGGCGGTGCCGATGAGCATGGTGTTGAACCGTTGTGCTGCGTCGAGAGACTGGATGAAGTTGGCGTCGTAGCATTGTCAAGCATCGTTCGATCGGCGGGAGTGGTACGTTCATTGCGAAGTGGAGCGAGATCGAAAACGTCCAGTAGTTGGTCGACTATGGGAGCGTGATCACGACGTTTGAGCTGATTTGCATGTCGTGTCCATAATAAGTTGCCACAGCGTACCAGATAAGTGACCTTGCCTAGACGTCGTACGACAACGCCAGGCGTCCATGTGCTTTTTGCTCCTCGATAATCCTTGGCGTAGACAGCATCATCGATATCGAAGTAGCGACGTCGTGCTCCATGATGCTTGTTGAATTGTCGCTCCATTCCGGTGTCTCGTTGTGCATTGCTCTCGTTGGAGGGGGGCATCATCAGGTCCAGCTGTGTGCGTATTCGACGTCCCAGAAAGTTTTCGGCCGGCGACAGCTGATCTGGTCCCGAAATGCAGGGCGTTGAACGGTATGCCATCAGAAAGGTTTGAAGTGCATCCGATGTTGCTTCCTCCCTCTTCAGTTTGGATAGTCCTCTCTTGAATGTGTCCACAAAACGCTCGGCCTGTCCATTGCTTTGTGGATGAAAAGGAGGGGAGCGGATGTGTGTGATTCCTCGAAGACGGCAGAACTCCTCGAATTGCCTGGAGGTGAACTGTGTGCCGTTGTCCGTGATGAGCGTCTTCGGGTTTCCAAACTGTGCGAACATCTTCTTCATAGTCCTGATTGTAGCACACGATGAGATGGAGTTCATTTGGATGATCTCGGGCCACTTTGAGAATGAGTCCACGACGACCAGGTAGAATGTCCCTTCCAGAGGACCTGCAAAGTCCGCGTGTACTCGGTCCCATGGCTTGGTTGACTTTGGCCAGGACTGGAGCTCGGTCTTCACAGGGTTCTTGGCGGCTCCTGCGCAAGAAGTGCAATTCCTGACGAGGTTGTCGATATCCGAGTCCATCGATGGCCAGTAGACATAGCTTCGAGCTAGCATCTTCATTCTCGTTTGGCCTGGGTGGGCTTTGTGGAGCGCTTGTAGTACTCGACGTTGGAGAGACTTCGGGATGACAATACGGCTTGAAGTTACAAGGCATGAGTCAGTAGTTGATAGGGAATCTCGTCGGTTGTAGAAGTGCCAGAGTGGTGAATTGCGGTCCACTTTTGGCCAGCGTCCAGTTCGAATGCAGTTGATGACTTGAGATAGAACGCGGTCAGAAGTAGTCGCGGTCTGTACAGTTTTGAATGAGACCGGAAGGTGATGGCAGTGATCCATTACTTCAGCAGAGACATCGGCGTCGATGGCGGCGATGACTTTATCTTCCGCTTGAGGTGACTGTGCGACGATCAGACGAGAAAGAGCATCAGCTTGACCGAAATCCTTGGTCCGCACGTACTCCATGTTGAAGTCGTAGTTCAGTAGTATAGTAGCCCATCGTTGAAGGCGGTTCGCTGTGTAAATCGGGACTCCTTTCTTGTTTCCGAATATCGCAATGAGCGGCTTATGGTCTGTCTTCAGTGTGAAATGACGTCCATGCACGAATCGATGGAACTTCTGAACAGCGAAAATTAGAGGCAAGGGCCTCCTTTTCGATTTGGCTGTATTTCTTCTGAGCTGGAGTCAAGGCTCGGCTGGCATGGTAGATTGCTTTTTCGGATCCGTCCGGAAATCGGTGGGAGAGAACAGCTCCAATACCATAGTTGGAGGCATCTGCTGCGACGATGAGTGGCAGTGAAGCGTCGTAGTGTGTGAGTAATAGATCCGATCTGAGAACTGCTTTGATGCGATCAAAGCACGACTGGCACTCTGGGGTCCATGAGTAGACGGCATCCTTTTTGGTGAGTGCGTCCAGGGGGGCGCGTAGGTTGTGCAGACCATTGACGAACGTTCCATAGAAGTTGACTAGGCCCAAGAAGGCTCGAAGTTGGCCGATGTCTTTCGGTGCAGGCATTCGTTGAATTGCTTCGATCTTTGCAGGGTCCGGTCGACGTCCTTCTGCATCAATCACGAAACCGAGGTAGTTGATTTCGGTTTGTAGCAGTGAGCACTTTTCCAGGCGAATGCGAAATCCATAGTCATGAATTCTTCGGAAAATGGCTTCCAGTCGAGAGTTGTGCTCTTCAAGAGTAGTGCCAGTGACGATGATATCATCCAGGTATGCAGCAGTGCCATCCAGTCCAGTAATAAGAGCATCCATCTGCTGCTGGAAGATTCCTGGGGCGGCCTTCACTCCGAAGGGTAAGCGGTTGAGGCGATAGAGGCCGCGGTGTGTATTGATTGTGAGGAGCGGTCGAGAATCTTCATCTACTTCCAGTTGAAGGTACGCTTCGGCCAGGTCCAGTTGAGAGAAATAGCGTCCTCCGTTCAGTTTGGCAAATATTTCTTCTGCCGTCGGAAGTGGATGTTGATGTTGCATAAGGGCGTCGTTCAGGCCCGTAGAAAAATCTGCGCACAGCCGAATTGTTCCATTCTTCTTTTGAACGACGACGACAGGAGCGGCCCAGTCCGAGTGATCGACCGGCGTCAGGACTTTTGCAGCTACTAGACGGTCGATTTCTTGTGAGATGCGAGGTTGAACGGCGTAGGGAACGGGACGGGCTTTCCGGAAGACGGGCTTGGCATCCGGCTTGAGTTTCAGAGAGGCCTTCGATTTTGTGCAGCATCCCAGGCCTGGTGCGAATACAGCAGAGAACTGCTTCTGAAGCTGCACGGTGAGCGACTTCCGCAGAGACGGGAGTGTGGCTGCTGACACGGCATTGCAGAGAGCATTTCCAGTGAGGTTTTGGAAGAGTGGCTTGACTTGTGAGATCCAGTCGAGTCCTAGTAGTGAAGCAGTGTCGGCGACATGACAGTTTCCTTCTCCTTGGTGACCATCGATTGAGAAGGTACATTTGAAGTAGCCTCTGACGTTGATATCCTTGTTATTGGCAGTTTTCAGCTTGAATAGTGACGGCAGCAGTCTTGGACGACCCATTGCGATCCAGTCCTTGTAACTCAGCAGTGTGATGTCGGCTCCTGTATCGAGACGCATACGTGTAGAGACTCCATTGATCTTGACGGTTCGGTAGATACGGTTTGTCGAAAGTGGGCTGCTGGTGGAGGATGCAACGACCACAACTTGATTCGTCCCTCTGTGCTTCTTCTTCGACTTCGGAAAATTCCGTCTGTTCCGTCTGTTGAAATTCTTGCAGAAGCCTTTCTTGTGTCCAACGCGGCGTCTGCACGAGTGGCACGTTTCTCCACAAACTCGCCATCCTTGGCCAGTGTTGTCCTGCCACAGCGGGCCAAGGTGTGGTGGTCCTTGCTTGACTCTTTTTTGGAATTAACTGCGTTGACTTCTGACAGTCGGTCGTCTGCAGAGGATGGTTGCCCGAAGTTTTGGCGTTCGTCGAATATCATACTGTTGGATTTTGCGAATATTAGCGTCCCGAAGTGTAGTATCTGGATTGTCTCTAATTTGCGTAGAGCATGAGTGCGAATATCAGCGTATTCGGCAGCAGCTAGACCACAAATCCAAACGAGGCACTTCATCTGTTCCGGCGTAATTGTACTGAACTCGGCCATTTCATGACGTCGATTCACCAGTCCAGTATAGTCTCGTAGATTCTCACCATTGCATTGAGTCCTGAGGTAGGCATAGCGACGTGCGAATACAGATGAATTGTGCCCGAACAACTCTTGCAGGATCTTCACTGTTTCAGCGGCGGGAATATCAGCAGCTTTCCTTGGCAGAATATGGTTGGTGAATCGTGCATAGGCTGCTGCATCCAGCTTTGACACAATAATCCGCGCCCTGGTTGCATCGTCGAGTGAAGCGCCATCTTGCATAATGATATCCTCGTAGCGACTATACCACAGGTCGAAGGTGCAGCCGCTTTCTGGATCGTGTGTGAAGACCGGTAGGCGTGAAGACAGCGAATTGATGACGAATTCTGCCGACGTTGTATGGGCTGTCGGAGGGGCCATTGTCTTGAACATGCCCTTCATCTCCATCATCACGGCCTGCAGCATCTTCTTCTGAGCCTCCGCTTGAGCTTCCAGGATTGCCCGTAGAGTTTCTGCGTCCATGTTGAGTCGGCTTCAATCCTGATCCTGATCCTAATCCTGGTCCTGATCCTGATCCTGGTCCTGATCCTGATCTGAACTTGATCCTGATCCTGATCGCCAGAATGTAGTGGCACGTCGAACGTAGAAGGTTTATCA